CATTTCATGTTATTGTCCTACTTGGCCTTACCGAGGTCATAAAACATAGGTGGTCGAAGTGATACACCACCTCAGCTAAGGTGCTGATTGAGGCGAGGTGAAACACCCTGCTGCAAAGTAAATCCGAATTAACCAGCTTCTCAACATGAGAAGGCTCTTCCTATTTTACCTTTCCCAAGAGATCTTCGTACAAGATTTTCTAAATGATTGATTGATGTGACATCTCTACAATAGATGCCTTTCAGTCAACTTTTCAAATGCCAGTCCTATCCTATAGGGCAGTTACTTTTTAGAATCATTAAATGCTCTTGAACCTAGTACTGCAAAAATGACGCATATGATGATATGCCTCGATCGTTAAGAGGATGACGTGTCTTTTCATCCAACGGTAACCACTTCACCTCTTCTATTGTAAAAATTTACACATAGTGTCATTTGAAGATAATGTATATTTACACATTTACAATATTATTTTTCATTCTTATTTTCTTTTTGTACCCCAATGCGCTTACACTCTTTTATAGCTCATGTCTTCAGTTCATTCACACCTAAATATACATACATAAGTTGATTGACTTGATCATCGGAGTGCTCGCAGCCGCCTCTCTCACCATCAAAGAAGGCCACGTATTTTTAATGGTGTGCAAGAGCTATAGCTAGATGTGAATGGAGCTAGAATTTATTGGTCAATTCATCGATTATAAATCAATGTCAACAGGCCACATCATTGGTCAAAAATCGAGGTCAAAGGATTGTCACCATCTGTGGAAAATCAAATTATAAACCATAAGCAAATCCCCGTGGAAAAAAAACATACTGAAAAGTATATTTACTTCCCACTTGAAAAATTGTTCTTGAATAAAGAACAAGTGGAAGTCTTGAAGAAAAGTTCTAAGTGTTCATCACTCTTGACTGTTTCCAGGTTTCCTTGAAATAAGATAAAACTTTGAAGAGAAAAATTTGATAAAAAAGACTCCCATTTGGAGAAAAGAGGAATCCACCTCACATGACTGTTAGTGAAAAAGATAGAATTCCACGAAAAGTGGCGAGAGAGATCTCAAAAGAAGAGGCCACTCGAACCTAACATATGCAGTATGGAGCAAAACTCCACCATCCAGCTCTTCCAACAGATGTATGCATGGATGTGTATGCGAATGCCCAGAATATTTCCTCATCTAGGTTTCTTCCAAAGCTTTTAGTCCCAATGCAAGAGTTAACTAGAAGAGAAGGTTCGGAGCGATAAAGCTTATTTCCTTAGGCGTGGGAGAGATGTTAGGCCTATTGAAAGGGAAGTACGAGTTGATTTGTCCTAAGATTGACTCGCATGCTAGCCTTCAAATGACCCGTTAAATAGAGAGGACAACTTTCTTCCGTTTATGTACGAGAGTAGAGACCTAAAAGCTTTGCCAACATCTTCGATGGTTTGGGTGTCAAAGCACATAGAAATAGTCTCCAAATGAGCCCCCCCATATTCAAACCTTATGAACATATGACTAAAAATAAACCTCAAAATGAACCTTAGCCTAGAAATAGACAGGAGAGAAGAGCAATCTAAGGTGCAATGGAATAAAGTGTGAACTTCGAACCACTTCTCTACCAAGCTAATGAGGAGAATGAGATAGGCTATGTAAGTCATTTGAGCTCGATGGTGACAATGACGACCTTCCATTCTCTAAGCTAATTCAAAAGGCCTATGTTCTTGATCATTTTGTAATGCCCAAAATACCAAAGTATAAAAGCAGAGATGACCTAGGAGAGCACCTTAATGCCTACAAAACCCAGATGGGTTTGAGAGGAGCCTTTCAATCAACGAAGTATAGAGCCTTTCACATAACCCTCTATGGGCAGCTAAGAGATAGTAGTACAAGCTCCACCCCAAAAGCATAATAAGCTGGCCTGACCTCAAGAGGTAGTTCTTGAATAATTTCCTATTCAAGAAAGAAAAGGATGCCCTAATTTAATGCCTCCAAGACACAAGCCAGGCAGCTAGCGAACTTGTTATATATGTTAGAAGATCTCTGATACGAAAGTCCTTTACACCCTAAAAGAGGGCTCAACAATGTGGTAGGTGGACATTCCCTCATCAGAGATATAGAGTCAGATGTACCACCTCTTATCTAGTAAACCATTAGTGGACCCTAGCAAGGTTTCACATATTTCTTACCTCAAGCCAGGCTTACGCCACAACAACTCTAAATGCCATACAAGCTCAGGTTATGAAGAGGTTGTACCTAGTGGCTATGGAAATTAAGAGATCATTCTCAGCATTGCCACTATGAAACACAGCCAAATGGAGGCTAGGGAATGCTACATGAACTTTCTACAGAAAGCAGTCCCCATGAGGTCTACAGGGTGATAATTGACGTTGAAATGGTCGACACTCTGAAAAGGGGGATACCCTTGAGAAGAGGTCATGACCATAATATCTCCTAAACAAGGGGTCATATATGACTAAATGGATTCAAGCACACCAAATTAGATTAACGATTGATTCCATTGGAAAAGCTAGTGAGCTTTTCAATGTATCCCCAAGATCCTACTAAGTCATTGCAGGTTGGAAAGAACCTATCAAGGGAAGCAAATGTGAAACTTAAAAACTTTCTGTGCAAAAATTTGGACATCTTCGCTAGGAAGCATGAAGATATGGTTGGTATTAGTCCCATGGTAAACTGCCACTACCACAAGATTGGTACTATGTCCATTCTACATAGGCAAAAATGAAGGGCCCTCAATTCACAGACGTATGCGGCATTGGAAGAGGAGGTCGAGAAGCTGATAGCCCCTAGCTTCATCAAAGAATCCTAATATCCTAGAAGGATCTCTAATTCCATCCTTGTGAAGTAACATTCACCTACCATCAGAAAAAAGTAACCCATCAGTTCATAGTCTCATCCTCAATGCTAAGACATCACTTCTACATCACAGCTTTATCAAGCAACTTATCTTTCAAAGCCTCCTCATCAATACTAGGACATGCCTTTACAACAAATCTTTATCAAACTGCCTATCTTTCGAAATCTGGCCCTCAATGTTAGGACCTCGCCTCTGTATCACAACTTTAACAAGTTGCCTATATTTTAGAGCCTCGTCATCAATGCAAGGAACTCGCTTCTGTACCATTAACGCTTGCATAGCTGCCATGCAAGGTCTTAATATGTCATTAACAATGTATGTCCATACATTGATGAATCATTTCATATCACGAGTCACATACCTCATCCTCAACCTAAAGTCCATGCATTATAAAAATATTCATACTTGGACTGGGAGACTAGGGTTACGACTCATCCGACAAGGCTCCTCAAGCATCGACCACATGACAACTAGCTAGCTAGCCTAATAAGGCATGCACTCCAGGTCACTATCCTACATGACCTAATAAAGGCCATAAAGTATAGGTAGTTAAAGTGATGCACTACTTTAGTCGATGTACTATGTAAAGGCCGACCATCCATAGTCGAGGTGAGGTGCTACAACCAATTAAAATGAAAATCCAAAGCGACTAACCTCTCAATGTGAGAAATTATCCAAAGCGACTAACCTCTCAACGTGAGAAATTATCTTCCTATTTTACCTTTCTCAAGAAATCTTCCGTATATGATCATTTGAATGATTAATTGATGTCATATTTACGGCAAATACCTTCTAGTCAACTTGTCATTCTAATTTTCAAATATTATGCATAGGCTATGGGGGGGCCACTTTTTAGAATCATTAAATGCTCGTGAATCTAGAACTGCAGAAGTGCCGCCTATGATAAGGCACCTTGGTTGTTAAGATGGAGCCACATATCTTTTCATTCAACTGTGATCATTTCACCTCTTCTACTATAAAACTCACAATTAGTGACATTTAAAGGTAATACAATTTTATATATTCATAATATTATTGCTCACTCTTGTTTTCTTTCTATACCGCAATGCCATACACGTTCTTGTGACTCACGTCTTTCGTTTAACCCACACTCAAATATACATAACACAAGTTGACTAACTTCGTCAGAGTGCTCGCGGCTGCCTCCTGCACCATCGGAGAAGGTATTGAACTCCTAATGATATTCTAAGTTTATGTGAGCTATAGCGTGGACGTGAGTGGAGACAGAATCTGTTGGCCACGTCACAGGTTAGAAATCGAGATCAACAAAGATAGCATTAATGTAAACAAAAAAAACATATTGATGATATCCTATAGATCTTCGCTTATTTCTTGCAACAGTTCTCTTTGGGAGCATTTACCTAATTCGATTGAAAAATCTTGTTAGAAATGTTTTAGCACTTGCTGCTGGTAAATTGGTACTTTGACCTGTCTATTCTGTTAGTAATTTTTCATTTGAGGCTCCAACTTCTAGTAAGATTGAGCCCTATTTTGAATTCGGATTATGCCACTTTGTGAGAAGGATTTTGACGTCACGGTGACAGAAGTGCATGTGGCAGCGATAATTAGATGGAAAAAGTGACCAAGGTTTAAACAGTTCAATAATAGAATATTATGTTGTATTATGTCAACCTTTCTGTCAACCCATCTGGCACTGTAGCATGATTGTTTGAACTCACCTGTGGTTACCTTCTATTTCTGCAGGGATTCGCAACCACTAAGAGGTGTTGGGTTGTCCCTTAAACAGTTGTTGTCTTATTAGTCAGTTTTACCCGAATTGGGTTTCATTCTATGCTCTTGAAGAAGCATAAATGTCCCTTAATCCGAATTCTCAAACTTGTAGTTCATTTGAACAAAGTTCATATCACATTATCATCCGTATAGAGTAGCCTTTCTATGGTTCACTTATAAAAAAAAAGTTCCCTATTTAGGCTGAATTTAATACACTGATATAGACTAAAATTCTTCACGTTTATTTTCAGACAGAAAACATAGAATACAACTCCAAAAAATTGAAAATGTAGTACATATCTTGATATTTTTTTCAATGAAACTAGGTATACATCTTGATTACAAATGTAGTTACTATATACACTCATACCAGGATATGAGTTCTCGAACCAGATTCACATGTTATTTGCAGCTCCTGCCATGACAAGAGGTTTGCAAGAGCTTTCACAGATATTGGATTGGTCCCCTTCTGGTAATTCTTCAACTAATCGCAACAATTTTTCTACGATTTCTCCAGCATTAGGTCTTGAAGAAGGATCATCATCTATGCAAGATCTTGCAAGATTTGCCAATGTGATGACTGCATCGAAAGAATAATTCTCCCCGAGTGCACTATCAATCCATTCCCTCAATTCCTCTGCATCTTTTGATTGTAAGACGAGCTTAATTTTATCAGACAACTTGATATAACCTTCTCCTTTCTCGTCACCCTTTGTTATTGGTGTTTTCCCCGACAAAACCTCTAGCAGAACTATCCCATAAGCGAAAATGTCGACACTCGGGGAAACAGAGCTGTCTTGGAGACACTCAGGTGCTAAGTATGCTTTATTCCAGGCTGCAGGCTGGCTAGAAAATGATTCCAAATCTTCTACATCGTCGCTAACACATCTACCCATGCCAAAATTACCAACCTTTGCGTTGAACTCTTCGTCCAAGAATATGTTCCGACTCTTTATGTTTCTATGGACATAACTAGGATTCATGATATGGTGCATATACTGTAAGGCTGTGGCCACATCTAGACAGATCTTTAGCCTCTGATTCCATGATAAGAAACAATAGCACGAAGCAATAAAATGGCTCTTCATTGCCAATCCACCATGAAGCCAGTCCTTCAACGAACCATTCTTGGCATACTCAAGAACAATGAATGAATCAGAACCCTCGATCACACATGTGCCTAAGATCCTAATTATGTTGGGATGATGGTGAATTGCATCATAGAAAAGCCCGATATCAATCCTTGAGAGTGTCTCTGATGGGACACGCTTTATTACCGTGTTTTTCCCCTTGAGACGAGCATGGAAAACAGAACCCTCGATGAGATTATTCAAATTGAAATCCTCTGTTGCTTTTTGGATCTCTTCAATGGTGTAACTCTCTACCAACCTCTTATGTGGAGTGGTATCAGTAGCCTGATCGTCAAGAGTATACTGAGATCCCTCGAATGAAACTTTCTTGTCACTTGTAGTTCTAACACTCAAACTTAGCTGCTGCATCTCCATATCTCTATTCACTTTCTTAATCGAATCCTGCCTCTTCTTCTTTTTCTTCCAATAAACGAATATGGCTCCAATAGCTACTACGCTTGCAACAAATGCAAATAAGCTGACAGCAATACAAACTCCAATTTTCCACATTTTTGGTTTTCTCTTCTTATGTGAGTTTCTGACTTGGATACTTGCTGCTGGATATCCCAAATTGGACTCCCCAGATTCTGCTAGTGAGCCAAGAACAGGGTTGCCTTCTACTGGAATAAGAACAGTCGACAACGGTTCAAGAAGGCTTTCTGGTGTGAAACCTGCTCCTGTTATATTATTAGCAGAAACTATACTCTGATGAGTGATATTAAACTTGAAGGCTAAGTTAGCAAGTGTGTCTCTTTCCCTTACAGAATAAGTGAGCAAAAACTTTCTTTGTTGGCCGAGTTCAACTGAAGATGGACATGCGCATTTCAATGGAACAACTAGATGAACTTTGTCTTCAACATCCTTTGGTGAGACACTCGGATTTTTCTCTTGAATGGCCTGGCAAGTTGTTAATCCCTCCAGAGACTCAGCAATATCATCAAAGCTCTCTCCTTTACTGATGATTGTATTCAGTTCTGCTTCAAAGAAATCACCAGTGCACTTACATTCAATTGGGATCAACGAGAACTGATCAATGGAAAGAAACTCTATGCCGTTCGCCTCAAAATGGTTGACGCCTAAGTAAGAACTCAGATTGGATCGCAAGGAGAAATGAGAATCACTGTGAAGAATAGAAAACGTCATGCAATAATCCTGCAATCCATTTACATTACAACGATACGCTGAAGGGACCGAAGATGTAGCATTGCAGCTAAGCAAGTTCTGGCCGAGTGCAGATACAAGTACATACTGAAAGAAAACCAAAGCTCTAAGTTGGAGTTTAGTATTCATAGTTTGAATGTGCAAGGGAAGGACCAGTTGGTTTTCACATGGAAGCCTTATAAAATTCAGGAACTTTTTTCTCAATAGCGAAGTGGGGTGAGTGAGTATTTTGGATCTATACATGGTGGGCTATATAATAAGAGAGAATTTAGGGACAGGGTTCTTGGATTTTGCAATAATTATAGATATTTTGGAACTTTGATTCTAGTTTACTGGTGACCCTTTAAATTGTTCTTGATTTCAATATTTGTCTATCCTAAGTGAATTTTCAAGTGCCTGTAATCATCATTATGCATTGAACTAGAACAATTGGACTTCTTGGTTTCAAAACTCTGCTTTTTGATGCATTGAAATTAGTAGAAATCCCTTGTCTACTATTCGACAAAGAATTAGAGATAGGCTTATCTCCACCGGCCACACCCTATGTTAACTGATGCTCAATCTGTTTGTTTGTATTTACTTCTTCAACACATAAGTTGAATTCATTTTCTCTTCTCTCATTAATCGATTTGATTTGTTCACTCGCCCTCTTCTCAAATAAGGCGATCTTATGTGGTTCAATTAAAAGACAAAATCATAAACCAATTGCGAAAGAGAAGAAATTAGAAGGATATATGAAAACGCGCGTAACTTTCAGCTCGGATGTTGGATTTTTGCGAACAAGTAAAATCTCAAAGCGTTTTTCGATTTTGCACATTTTTACAAGGCGATGATTATTGTCAAATTTTTTTGGTCAACTTCCATCGTCTAAGGGTCTGTTTTACTATTTTCCTATTTTGATTTAGTTCAATGTTATTTTCGTCATCTTTGTAGTTTTTTAGTTTTATTCACATTTATCTAAGAAGTTAAGATTTCGATTTGATTAGGTGTATACAATTACTAATGAGTATTGAATAAAACTGAGCAGTAACATAATTTTATTTTAACGAACATGCACTTGTACATTAAGCCCTTGTTTAGTAGGGATTAAAATTAAAATTTTAATTTAAATCAAAGTCAACAGTTAATTTTAACCACATATTTTATGGAATCCATAATTTTTTAACCTCATATTTCATCATTTTTTATCAAAATCTACCAAAATTCTAATTTTAGTCTCCATCAAACGGAGACTAAATATTTGTGAATTGCATCATAAAGTAGCAAAAAAGTTGAGGACGTGAAATAAAACAAAGTGCAATCTGCTTGATTATTGATGGATAAAATATATATAGGGACAAGTCCTAGAGAATGGATAGGAGAAAGATAGGTATGCTTAGTCCTTGGGTAGCATAATGGGGTTGAAAGAGACTAGGGATGATGATGTATCCATCGACAAGACCTGCATGCATGGTAAAGCACTAGCATTAAAGCAAACTTATAAGATGAAGATGGATAGATGGGTCAAGTTCTCGTTCATTTTCTTGGATGATAAAATTCAACGTTTTTCTATTAAGCTCAAAACAAGTATTATGATTTCAAAATTAACGTTCTTAATAAGCCACTATCTTGCATGATCATTTAGAGAGTAAATCTCACGTCAGCTAAATATGTAAAATAATAGTTAAAATATAAGAGTTTGAGTTGCTTCTCGTAACAATGTTGACCTTTAAATATGAAATCTTAAGTTTTCAAAAAAAATAAAATATATCATTAGGAATAATTTCACTTTGATTAAAGATGAAACAATCTAACAACATACAAGAACTTAAACAACTAGCTACATTTTATCATCACCGTAACAAGCCTTCCCATTTGATAATCAAATAAAGGCACCGGACTTGACTTGCAATGTCAAGTTTTATGCAAAAACTCCATCGTTAAAACTTTATCAAATCTTAAAACAAAAATTCTTGTTAATGTGATAGAGAAGTGTACAAGTTACTGTTATTTTATTTTATTTTATTTTTATTTTTTTGTTGGGGTGACTGAATCATCTTCCTGTAAAAGCATAAACACCAAACTAATGGCATTGCATTAGTAGGCTAAAATTACCCCTAAAACCTTAAGGGTCCGTTTGATTGATAAATGTAGAAAGGTTTTCCAATTTCATATAAGTTGAAAAATAAAAACTCAAATATCCTATATGAATGCATTTTTCATGAAATTGGCAAAAAAAAAAAAAAAAAAAAAGCTTAAAATGGTTGTACATTGGAATTCGAANGTATCTTGAAATTCGAACACAATTTCACTTTCACATCAAATAGTCAAAGTAGAAATTGAATTTCTCGAATGTGACATTTTTCATGAAATTTAAACAAATCATACGGATCCTAATATTAAATTTGTATAAAACTGGAAACACTTTTTCTTGGATCAAAAGGTGTACACGTGACTGCACGTGCATGCAATTCAAATACTTTTAAAGAATTCAGAATTTCAAATGGGGGCGAATCTCAAGTATCATATAATTTGTTTTTGAAACAATCAAACCGCAGGATAAACTTGACAAGTGTAATAAACATTTATACTCAACTAAGAAGAACAATGGAATCAAAATTTAAATAATAAATGAAAATGAAAATCAATAACTTGAATTTATACATTTTTTTTGAAGCACGCGTCATCATCTAACCAAGATGGTTAAATACCAAGATTTATCGCATTTTCTAAGTCGTAAATTTCGTAATAATTACAATCAGGTCGAAAAATTGGACGAAGCGAAACCCGTATTATGTTCCACAACTTTCAGATGGTAATGAATGGTCAAATGGTTATGCAGATACAACTTTTAGTCATAATTAATTATGCAAATCATATCATAATTGTACACAGTTAATCAATTACACTGAGCTCCTTCCTTCTTGACTGTCGCATAAGAGATATAACAATAGCCATATCTGAAGCTCCAAATACCGAATTTCCAGCTACAATGCAGTTTCCTTCCGCTGAAGCATCTGCAAGATAGCCTTCAGATTGAAGAATTATTCGTCCCATAAACTTGGAAGATGTGTGTTCCTATCAAACTTGAAAATTGAAGATAGCCCCTTCCAGAATTCTTTGCAGACATTCTTCCAGTTACTAAGTAGTGGTTTTTTCTTTGGAAACAGTGAGCTTTTCGTCACTACCGAACAAAACTAATTATCTCTATGTCAAGAAATAGAAGGGTAAGATAATCAAATTGCGATTACAAGATGTGGAACTCACTTCTGTATCAAGTGATGAATACGGTTAAATGTTGATTGCTTAACAATTTTGGGCCCAATGATGTAGCCCAAACTGAAAATCCAATTAATGGCCCTATGATGCAGCCCAAACTAATGATGAGTCTAGGCCATTTTGAATGCAAATTCTCGCGTTTTAACTAAAGTGCGACTTTGGTTATTTATTTTGAAGGCTGAGATGATGTTATGTGGAATGGTTGTGACCGTTGGATGCTTCCGACTGTTTGTATTATTTCATTTGTATCTGGACTTCGAGATTATTCTTAAGATTTTCTCTATTCTGCTCTCTGTGTATTCTCTTGCTCTATTTAACTATTTTCTAAGTCCATATCTCAGCCCTATGGTGCGTCTTCTTCATATTTCTAGCTTTTCTTGATTTAATTCAATTTGATCTAGCTGAGAAATTTCATTTTCTCTACATTTTTTCTTATTTGTGAATTTGTTTGTTAGTTTCATTAGTTTTTTACGGTTTTTCTCTACTCTTGTATGATGTATGAAAGTCCTGTTCGATTATTCTTTATTTAGTTCACTTCTGTGCAATTTTTTTGTGGCTACTTCTGTTCGCGTTTGAGCTTCTGACTTTCAAGATTTTACCAGCTAGGGAGATTCGGTTCTATTCGGCCTTTGCTCTATTGTGTACTTTTTTCATACATCTTTATTTATGGTATATTGTCATTCTAGTGAATCAAGCTTTCAGTTTGTTAAATTTATGGCCCGCAAATTGTCTTCAAGTATGCTATCTTTTTCTTAATTTTTATATTCTCTTCAGTTTTCTTTTATGTGTAGAACAGATTCTACTTTATTTGCTGCATGTTCAAGATTATATCATCATTTTCTTTATATGTGTCTCTGTCTATTCAATAAATAAATTTGAGGGTAAGTATCCAGATTGGCAAGATTTTGTTAGTAAAGTGATTTTATTGTTCATCAACTCCACCAATAGCTTCATTAAAGAAAACAATGCGAGCAATGCTGCAGTGGCACTATAAGTTTAATGCGAATCAAATATAAATTTAAGTTTCTTTTAGTATAAATATAGGGTTTTTTTTGTACAAATTTTTGTGCATATACCACTTAAATCTCAAACATTAACATCGATGATTGAATCGCTCTAAGAACAACCATTACTAAATGAACCTCGCCATTAGCTAAAAGAGGAACTAAACAATTTTACATAAATTTATTCAGAAATTTGTCACCAGAAGATGAACGTTATATCACAAACCAACGAGAAATGTCTTGTAAAGATATTTGATTTCTCTTTTAACCTATGATTGGATTCCAAGAGAGTCTTTCTAAATTTAGTGATAAATATTCTAGAAGAAACTCAAAATGTATACTCCAATAAGCTTTCATCACTAAAAGGTAGTTCTTGAACTAAAATTTACTACTATATGTTGAGCATAAAAAAAAAAAATTAATGCTGAGGTAAGGAGTATCGCACGAATCATGCTGTAGATTTCTTCTCTTCAAATGATCTTTCTTATATTTGTCTTCCTTTAAAAAAGCACTGAATGTGTCTTCGAAGTTCAAGCATTCTCTCAAGAAGAAGAAAGAGCAATGTTCATGGCAGCTCTGTTTCAATGAGGATATTCAACGAGCTGCAAGCTGTTAAGGCATTTCGGCGAGCCTTCATGTTGGATGAGTTGCAGCCAGGCAAGTTCGATGATTATCATATGATGTTGAGGTTATTATACAACACTTTAGCTACTTTTAGTCAAATGCTCGTATGTATGGATGGAAATATAAAATGCAGNAAAAAAATTATTTTTTAGGAAACAATTTTTTTTTTTTTTTTTGTACTTTTTGGCAATAGAAACAAATTTTATAACCAATTGTGGAAAAAAAATATCACTTTAGTAGACA